TTTTAAACTTATATACCTACTGATTTGTTCGGAACCCTCGGTGCGCGAGTCCGACTTGCACTTGTCCGGTTTTTATCTTTCATTTGGCTCCATCCTACGGACGGGGAATATATTATGTCTACTCGTTATGTCAAACGGTGGTATTGCCGTGTTTTGGCATAAGGACAAGATAATTTTATCTCTCGTCAGTGGATATAATCGGGGGATAAATTTTTTGTCCCCAGCCCATACTAGCCGTGCAGAAATGAGAGGCCTGTGTTCAGCAGTAGGACGTATATAGGCTGTAACTATAACTCTAGTCGGTTGAAATTCTGCGGAAGTAATTATTTATTTTTCATACATTTCATACATTTATATTCCTATAAAAAAAATCATACCGATATGATTCGTTTGGATTACCTTCGCCCCTCTCTTTTTTTATAGTATAGGGTAACAAACGAGCGCACAGTCCACCTGATGGTAAGTGGCTGCTGTGGCTCATAGACATATCTACATTTATCCTCCATTGCGAATCAAAATGCAGATGCGTTGTCACCCGTGAGGACTAAGATGGAATGCCTCGTTTCCAGTAAAAAGGATCTCCGGTTCTCTACACTTACCATACGAAACACAGCAGTGTTAAGCTGCTATTTAACGCTGGTATTCTGTGAGAGCGTGGTCCTTCCCCGGTCGAGCCGACCCATTCACCCATTTTATAAGGTGGTACGCCTTATAAAAAAAACGTTATAAGGCGTACCACCATTGTACATAGGTACCTATGTCGTTCAACACGCGCATTCAAACAAAATGCTAGTCTAAAGGTTTCCTTTCAAATACTGCATTACGTTTTATCATATTTCATTTTAAATATATTATATTTTTCAGCTTGATCCATAAGCTATACCCTTCAATCCGCGCATGCGTCTTTAATTAGGCATTCCGCTCTCGTCACCACTGCGTACGCGCACCGTGCAGGGTGCAGGGCAGGCGGCCTCTTTGACGCCGCCAGCCCATCCCGCTCGCACAATGCATCTATTCAATACCAAAACTCACTGCCTGTGTTGAACCTACCACCCTATTCAACATTAAACAAACTCTCTTCAGCTCACAGACCAGTTTAGCCTGGACGTAATGGGTGACGATGGTGTTTTCAAAGCGCTTTATTATAAGTTTTATTCCGCTGCAGTAAAGTCCTTTTTGATCTGTAATTATATATGCTTAAAGGTGTTATTAGAGTGATATAATGAAGGGGCCTAATTGTATATTCTACTTGGGAAATCAGTACAGATAAAAGAGTGAGCGATAGAGGCCTTTATCTCTCTTGATTTTAGACCTTAAAAGGGTTAATGTGTATAAATTTTTGTATGTTTGGTAGTTTGATAGAAGTCAATTTTATTAAAGCGAATATTAATCGGATCAATCGACTTCAAAAAAGGAGGAGGTTCTCAATTTGTACATTTTTTTATGTTGTTCACCGATTACTCGAAGACACCTAAACCAATTTGGAAAATTCTTTTTTTTTTGTTTCAAAGGGTATATTTCCCGGTGATAATTCTATGTTTCCAGGTGTTCCATTTAAATTTTATCGAAATCGGTCGAACTGTTTTTAAAAATCAACAATAAATCCAAAAATAATATTGAAGTCGGCTGTAAAAAGAATTAAATTTACCACCTCAGATTATAAATACAGAACAACAGGTTTACTCACCACCAATAAAAATGTATCTGTTGGTCTGAGTAAACAAGTAAGAACTGTGTTTTGATGCATCCATAAAGTTATTATTTATATTATCATATCAAAATGGAAACAATTTGAATAAATTCATATCATAATTCACATAAGTCAGGGGTTCCCAAAGTGTGCGCAGTAGAGAGTAAAGATGAACGCAGTCAACAGGATCCTGCTCTCCGGAAACTAAACTTATGCATACGCGGTTACTAAATAAACCGGATTTTCAGCTGTAGTTGTAATAAAGAGCAAATATCGCATCGATCGATCAACGTAAAGCAAGAAATGAGAGTAGCGGTGTCAAGCCTTATTCTCGTCGATATTATATATGTACTACGCACTAGATTTCGCATTCCGAACATTGACTATGTTCAACTGAACTGTACTGCAATCCATACACTAAACTAAATATTGCGTAAATTGAAGATTTGTGAATTCCATAAGATAATTACATATTATTAAACTTTATTTAGAAATATGTTTGTTTAGATTAAAATAAGAGCATTTTATATTAAATTCTTATATTTATTCTATATTAATGTGTTATTTTACATTAAATAAAAGTCTTCGCGCATACGTGACTCTACTTTCTCCCGCGCATGCGCGAAGACATAGAGTAGCGCACAATTTTTGTTTGGAATAGATTCTCTAGTACGTAGTACATATAACTCAATGCTTATCTTATGCTACGAAAAAATGTATCGAGATCACCAAGCTCTCACGTCATATTGTCTTAGTTGCCATTGAATTTAATTTCCTATTTTTCTTAAATAAAAATGTGTTCTTGTGTGTCAATATAAATATAAAAACTCACCTTCATATTGTGGACGTTTCCCGCGTAGTGTCAGTGTACCCTATTTCGAATACTACTAGACAAAATACTAGTCTTATTTAGCCTGTAATTGCGCCGCGAACTGAAAATGTTTGACAACCCCTGACATATATAATTCATTAAATTAACTTGACAAACAAACTAATAGTCCACGTGATGTTAAGTGAATACTGTAGCCCATGGACACCTGCAACCAATATTCAACTAAGAATGCTACATTATGCCTAATGGCGCATCTCCACCAAAAATGTTGACAACATTTATGTTTCCAACTCTTGACAAATCAACAAAAGTTGACGACATTTGTTTCCGAAAATGTTTCAAAATGTTGCAAGAAGCGTCTCCACCGAGGGAACAAATGTCGGCAACAAGCGTATTCCTTTGATGTTGCCGCCGAAAATGGAAACACGATTCCCGACAATGTTTCGTTTTGTTGCTAAAACTAGGTGATTACAGAAATATTTGTTGACAAAACGTGCTGACAAATGTTGTGTTGACAACAAAACTTTGGTGGAGACGCACCATAAGGACTAAAATGGAGTGCACAGAAATATTGATGGAATGCCTCACACTCACGGCTGTAATTACACAGGCTGACTATACACTTCAGACCGGAACACACCTACTACCAGCCTTATCTGTACTCTTTTGAAAACATGCCCGACATTTTTATTGCGGTAATTCCGTCATATTATCTTCTTATATCAATATAAATACGAGTAAATGATAGAGGTTTGCATTTGTGCGCGCATCATGGAAAAACTACTGGATAGATTTCAATTAGGTTTTCTAAGTTTTATTTCTTTCTTCATCTATCTATACAAATAAATAAAATTGGAGTGTCTGTTTGTAACGTCAAAATAACAGCTCTTCACTAAATGCATATGAAAGTATATATGGTACTAATAACAAAAACACAATCTTTTAAATTTTTGTCTGTCTGTCTGTCTGTCTGTCTGTCCGTCTGTCTGTCTTTCTTTCTGTTTGTTCCGGCTAATCTCCAAAACGGCTGTACAGATTTTGATGGGACTTTCACTGATATATATATATATACCTCAAAACTTGAAAACGAGACTGTACACCCAGTGCGTGTTGCCAGTGATGACATACGGAACTGAGACGTGGTCCTTCACTGCTGGCCGGATGAGGAAGCTCAAGGTCGCTCAGCGAGCTATGGAGAGGGCTATGCTCGGAGTTTCTCTGCGTGATAAACTCAGAAATGAGGATATCCGCAGTAGAACCAGAGTGACCGACATAGCCCAACGGATTAGTAAGCTGAAGTGGCAATGGGCCGGCCATATAGCTCGAAGAACCGACAACCGATGGGGAAGAAAGGTTCTCGAGTGGCAGCCTCGTACCGGCAGGCGAAGTGTAGGGCGTCCCCCCACTAGATGGAGTGACGACCTGGTAAGATTTGCAGGAAGTCGATGGATGCAGGTGGCTCGGGACCGTGCTTTGTGGCATTCTTTGGGGGAGGCCTATGTTCAGCAGTGGACTTGTGAAGGGCTGTAATGATGATGATGATGATGATGATTCACTGACGGAGAGCTGATTTTATAAGGAGTAACCTTGGCTACTTTTGTTTTAGAAAAAGAATTAGGGTTCCGCGCAAAAAATTTAAAACCTAAATTACACGCGGGCGAAGTCGCGGGGAACCACTAGTTTAATATAAAGTTATTAAAGTTTTAAGAAACAACGAATTATAAACACTACGTGTTCAGTAATGTTTTCTTGCCGTTGAGAAGTGGGGAGTCATGGGGAGTCGTATTTATATATATATCGAAAACATTGTTAATATATCAAGCAACGCGGTGGAAGTCGCGGGTATCAGTTACCTAATGTGTAATAAATTATTACACATATGACTCCGTAAAGCTTTATTTATGTTATGTCTACGAGTGGTTTCATTCATTTTCATTCGTTTTTAAACGATGTGATGTGCTGATATTACCAGCACACAGACATGTAATACAGAATATATAATAGTACTACAAGTACGATATTACCTTTAATTGTAGGTAGTAAGTACTTACATCAACATCATTGTTTCATCTGTTCTTCCTCGTCTTCACATGACCATATTAATATGAACAACTGTAAGATGATATAAAATTACACCCGTTGATTGCAGTGAGCCGTGCACGAATTAGGTCCTCTTCGCATTTTTTTATTCTTCATAATGCCCTGTTCATGCGTTCAGACCTTTATGCATGTTCTGAACGCGCCGTCCGGTCGACCGGTTTCGTTCTTTGCTTTGCCTTTGAGTCGCCGCGCCGCTCCGCGTTCGTAATTTGAATTTCGAATTAGTCCGCTGCCAGCATTGCTAAGGTTAGGACGCGTTACTGCGAATTATATTGTCGTAATGTTTACGATTTTTATGTGTTTGCAAACAGTGATTTCGTAACTGAACATTATGACACAAACAAGTGATATTTTATAATTGTGTTTATTAGCATGAAGATGGCTCGGATTATAAGTGTTGTTTTACTTTGCGCGTGTTTGGCAGCTGCTGATCAGGAGGAAATCGAAGGTGGAAAATGCGAGAGAATCAAACTTTCACAATGTCAAGATTTGGGCTACAATTGGACAGCAATGCCTAATCTAATGGGTCACAGAGACCAAAAGGAAGCTGAGGAAGCGGTAAGCTATCGTTTTTGCTCCATATATCATTTAAAACTACTCGAACTAAATATTTTTATCTCGTCGGTAAATAAATCAAAGTTTATGCACTTAGTCATTTAATTTATAACAATGTTTTAAATTACCTATGAAAACTATTTCTTTCTTAGAGATCCATTATCTAAATGATGATAATACGGTCATTAAACTTAAAACAATCTAAAAAAATGGCTAAAAGAGCGTTTCGTGCCAAAAAGCTTAACTTAACGGGAAATAATTAAAGTTCTACAACATATGTTATAGGGTTGACGTGACTTCACAATGGGATTAACGTATTAATAAGCCTATAGTTAACATGGGGGAGTTAATAATGGCAATAGGATTTTGGTTTTTTTTTATAGGATAAGGTGTCAAACGACCACAGTCCATCTGATCGTAAGTGGTTGCTGTGACCCATTGACATCCACATCTATCCTCGTATGCGAATCAAAATGCAGATGCGTTGTCACCCGTGACCCCGTGAGGATTAAGATGGAATGCCTGTTTTCCAGTAAAAAGGGTCTCCGGTTCTCTACACTCACCATACGAAACACAGCAGTGTTAAGCTGCTATATTACGCTGGTATTCTGTGAGAGCGTGGTCCTTCCCCGGTCGAGCCAACCCATTCGTGCTACAACTATACTATAAATATAGCTGCAGCTTGGCTCTACCACGAAAAAAAAATTATATAAAAATAACTTTTTTGGCAATTTTTTTTTATTATTACATTCTAACCAGCATACTTAAATAATAAATAACGAAATAAATTTAAGTTTAAACAATTACAACATATTAACATAACAATAACAACATTAGTCACGTCATCAAGACTTTGTCTAAAAGTCATAAATTTATATCAAAGTGAGCTTTCTGACAGCCCTGACACCCTCTGACGGGGCGCTATTTTCGAGTTATTGTTCAATAGATTTTATGGTTTGTAAAAGTGATATCGGTGTCTGTATTACATAGGGTTTTTGTTAGGGGAACGTTTGGGTTGAATTATTGAATGAAAACCGTACTACCCCTCGGGTTGGTAATAAATTAACTAATATATTTGGTGGAGGAATAGTTTACACAATATGGCGGGGTGGCAAGCTATATCTTCTTGATAACTTTTCAATAATAATCTATACAAATAAATAAAATTGAAGTGTCTGTTTGTAATGTCTAAATAACAGCTTTTTACTATATGCATATGAAAGTATATACGGTACTTATAACAAAAACACGATTTTTAAAATTCATGTCTTTCTGTCTGTCTGTCTGTTTGTTCCGGCTAAGCTCCGAAACGGCTGGACCGATTTTGACCGGAATTTCACTGACAGATAGCTGATGTTATAAGAAGTAACTTAGGCTACTTTTACTTTAGAAAAAGAATTAGGGTTCCGCGCAAAAATTAAAACCCATGAAATTTAATCGTAATAAATTACGCGCGTGCGAAGTTACGGAGAACAGCTAGTAGTAATATAAAAAACTGCGGTTGCCAAAGCCCGCAACAAACGTAGGAACTATGTAAATATTATAATATGATGCAATCTATAAGCGAGGCCTATGTTCACCAGACTTTTGATGAATGTATTGATGATGATGATTGTTGAGTGAGATTGAACTATCATCATCATCTTTAATGGTAGAAATGTACAATATTTTCTTGTCATTTATTTAGATTGATTTGTCAGGCTACTTTTAAATATCTCACGAGTAACGTAATTGTAAGTATTATATGGATATCATGTCCTTTTTTTTTAATAAGAGAAGGGTGACAAGAGAGCGCACAGTCCACTTGATGGTAAGTGATTGCTGCGGCCCATAGACATCTACATCTATCCTCGCTTGCGAATAAAATGCAGATGCGTTGTCAGTCGTGAGGACTAAGATGGCATGCCTCTTTTCCAGTAAAAAGGGTCTATGGTTCTCTACACTCACCAAACGAAACACAGCAGCGTTAAGCTGCTACGTATATCACGCTGGTATTCTGTGAGAGCGTGATCCTTCCCCGGTCGAGCCGCCCCATTCGTGCTACAACTATACTATTATGTAGCTGTAGCATGGCTCTACCAGGTAAGAATTAAGTAAGATTGTCCTGTTAATTTTATTAAAAGAACATACTTCACCATTCCACAATAAGCCATTTTATTAAATTTAAAATTGACTTATTATTAGATATTTATTGAGCAATTTAGACCATTTGTTTTTTTAACTATTTACCTATAGGACAGTGCTTCTTACTTTTATTGTAGCGTTTTTGAAGATATAATAATTTACAGCAATTACTCAGCGCGGCTGATCAAAGAAAAACAACAATTTAATCGAGCTTAAAAGGTCTAAACGGGGCACAAGATGGCGTAGGCGGTTGACTCGTCAACGAGTCGCTGTTACTGTTATCAGGGCACATCAAAGGAGCGCCGCGATCCAGATTATTGAACGCGAACCGGTCTCGCTTGTGTGGCCGTGTGAATTTGCCCCGCATTTATCTAGCGATGTTGCTTGTAATGTTTTGCTGGACTTCAATAAAAGAGGAAGTTAAAAGTTCGAGTGTTTTTTTTTTTATCTTTTGTTTTTTTTTTGTATGTATGTTAAGCGATATCTACGTCAATTTTAAACAGTTTTTTTTTAAATTAAATATGTTACATATACTTCAGGTGTGGTCACATATAAATCTGGAGAAGAAATTCCACCGCTAAGTGTAATAAAATAGGGGATAAAGTTTTTAATTGAACTTAGACGATATTGACATTACGACATTCCTGAATCCACTTAAAAGGGTATAAAATTAGCATTTAATTAGACGTATGGGCTGACTTACTACTTAAAAGTATAAAGAATTTCACATTCTAAGTCGGGGCCTTAACTCTTCTATACTTATATGTCTCAGCTCCAACTTTAACATGTGAAATTATTTTATTTCTCTGAGTTGTTTGAAGTTCGCTTTTACTTTTTATTAAAAGTTCATTTTGTGTTTTTGCGGTGGTCCAAACTAAATACATTCAGAGTTTCAGTTATTGCGGGTTCTTACTAGCTTTACAAGGTACTTTGCTCTTACATATTTATTTTAAAAACAACAAAATTCGATAGAAATTAAAAGTACGGTAGCAAGTTTTTAAATAATATGTATTCGTATCTTACGATCTTTTAAAATCGTAACGTTTGTTCTTTGTTATCAGGTACCTGGATAATTTACGCAGTAATAGATATTATTTTGCTTAAAAAAATAAAGCAAAATATATTAGCTATTCAGGAATTAATGTTCGATCCGACGTATTCCAAAAATTAATGTCAAATTAAGTACCTAACTGCGGTATAAAAAATATGTGTGGTTTTATATGTGATAGTCATGCTGCAGCTATATTGGTAGTATAGTTGTAGCACGAATGAATCGGCTCGACCGGGGAAGGACCACGCTCTCACAGTATACCAGCGTAAAATAGCAGCCTAATGCTGCTGCGTTTCGTATGGTGAGTGTAGTGAACCGGACACTCTTTCTACTGGAAACAAGGCATTCTATCACAGTTCTCAGGGGTGACAACTCATCTGCATTTTGATTCTTAATTGAGGATAGATGTAGATGTCTATGGGCCACAGCAACCACTTACCATCAGGTGGACTGTGTGCTCGTTTGTCACCCTATCCTATAAAAAAAATGTTTCCGCCTACTTGCGCTGCTAAAATAAAATCATGCTTAAATTTGTGAAATTCTTGCGAACCGGATTCTGGATTCAGTTTAAAACTTGCATCATAAATAGTAGCAGTATGCTCATACACATTACGAGTAGAATCTATTCCATAACAAGTGATAATTATTTAAATTTTATAAAAAAAAATTAGCACGGTTTTTATGATATTCTTGCATTGTGATCCGAATTTGAGCTATATGCAATATTTGAAGTTTCCAGCTCATCGGGAATTTAGCTTAAAATCAATTACTAAATTCCACCCGGAACGACAAACAAGAAAGTACCTAATATGGTAAATATAAAAATGACATTCAATAAGTATTATGTAATAGTATATATATTTTGAATAAAAATTATTTTATTCTATTCTAATAAAAAAGTAAAAAGATGAGTCTTCAAAAATTTTTCTTCAAAAAATTATTGACAAAGTATCCTACTAATGACAAGAAAATGCTAAAAAGCTTACAAAAACATTAAGAATGGAGAGCAATATATTACATTATATTAATCATACTCATAGCATAGAACAAGTATGTGTAGATATTTTTTACAAATGATGTTTACATTCGTTATTCCTTCGTTATACCTAGTATAATTTGTAACTGAACAAGACACAAATAAGTATCTTACGTTTATTTTTGCAACAAATAACGTGTCCACTTATTTTATTTTTTTTCATTAGCTTCTTAATTTAATAAAATATTGCTTGTGTTTATTTCTAAAATATTCTTCTTCTTTACTTTTTGAATTCTGCCAATGTCAAGTATTTCTAAAATATAATATGTCGTCAAGGTTCGTATTTGATAGAAATGTCAAAACATTATTTTTATGTAGCTGGGCGACGAGCTATTATATTTATATACATTTGAGGCTAATTTTTTTTAAAATTATAATAAATTCATTAACGCTTGAAGGGAAACTGTTTTAAGAGAACTGGCCAAGTGCTTTTTTCGGACACACGCAACGGTTATCCCCTAATCTGCTTCTTATCCGAGCCACCTGCATCAATTGACTTCCTGTATGTCTTCATCTACTGGGGGACCCCCTACACTTCGCCTGCAGGTACGAGGCTGTCACTCGAGAACCTTTCTTCCCCATCGGTTGTCGGTCCTCCGAGCTATATAGCCGGCCCATTGCCACTTCAGCTTACTAATCCTTTAGACTATGTCGCTTAGTCTGGTTCCACGGCGGATATCCTCGTTTTCAAGTCTATCACGCGGAGAAACGCCGAGCGTAGCCCCCTCCATAGCTCGCTGAGTGACTTTGAGCTTCCTAATACGGCCAGCAGTGAAGGACCACGTCTCAGATCCTTAGGTCATCACTGGCAACACGCACTTGTTGTACTATCTAGTTTTGAGGTTTTAAGGTATGCTAGACGAGATTAAGTGTCGTAATCTCCCGAAAATTTGATAGTTGAAAATTTGTTTGTTGTTGAAATGTCTTTCCATCCGATTATAATGTGAGTGTCTTCAAGGCAAGAGTGAATTTTTTTAAGCTAAGTTAGTGCGTTTTACCAGTCACCACGCTTGGCCAGCGGGTTAGCAACCGCAGTTTTTTTTTTATTTTTAGTCGTTATTAGGAAGACGGTGCCGATCTCCTGATTTGTTTCCCTCTGTCGCCTCTTAAGACAGCCACGGGATTATATGGGGTAGTGGATATTCTTACATCGCCACTACACTGGTAACACACCACACTATAACAGTTAAAAAAAAACATCTCCCTGGAATAGAGATATCCATTCAAGTTTTTATTTTACAAACAAAACTCGTCCGATAGTCATTATCTAATATTTCTACGGTTATCTGAACGCATGCGTATCGATACTTTACGTGATGCCGCCGATAGCCCGGCATTAGCAGATACCCATCGGCACTTAAGGTGAGATATCGGCCGCGATAAGGCGTATAAATAAAAATAAATAGCTGCTCTTGCGTTATTGCTATATAAAGTTACCGCTATCGTTCATATTGATACCGAGGCATGAAAGCGCCGGTGGTGGGCCTTGTTTATTTAATGCTTACTGTCGAGTAATCCATGCGAATTGAACAATTTTTTTAACGTTTTTTTTTTTTTTGTTGACTGCTGCCTTAGAATGCTGCAGGGATATGTAAATAATTTAGTTTTTAGTTAAAAATTAGTTTTAGTAATTAAATAGCGTGGAATATACATGTTCGTTACATATTAATAAACAATATCTATTACCCTCAAAAACGTATTAATACCTTACATTTCTTATTAATTTGTTATTTATTATCATAAATAAAGTTTATACTAATAAACAACATAAATTTACAAAAATCAAATAAATAAAAATTAGCATGCTAATAAATAACAAATTATTTTCTTTTCAAATAACATTGCTTATTAACTTATTGTTTATTATTAGAGTAGAATAGAATCATTTTTATTTAATATAGATTACAAGATTATTGAAAGTCATTTTAGCTTTACCGCGGGTCCGGAAAAAAACCTCTTTCCTGGAAAGAACCAGCAATAAACCCAGACATTTTTTTTTTTAAAATGAAATATATTTAATTTTATACAATTACTATGAAAACATTTAGAAACAACATTATTATTATTAACAATAATACATTTTTCATTCCGCGGCAACGCGGCGAAGTGACTAGAACTCTGGCACAGAATAAATAATAGTACAAACTCTGGTCTTGTTCTTGAGAGACCAGAATGCACGGGTTCCCGAAGGAAGGCGAACTAGTTTCTCGCCAATTCTGCCTATGTGCTCTGACTTTGCCTTGGCAATAACTCTTTTGAAGGACCTGGAGGCGAAGTTATACTTCTTTTTAAGTATGCTGGTGTTTACATCCCGAGTCGCCGAAGCCGCAGCCCAGGCTTGATAACACTCCTGTTTATTGCGTAAAGCAGTCTTACAGGAGCGACCAAACCAAGGCTGACATCTGCCTCCGATGGGTACCACAGATGATGGAATAAATAGTTAACACAACACTAAACTTCTCTAAAAACAATCACCTCACTTATACAGAATGAAATAAAAATGACTTATTATTCTTTACTGCACACATTTATTAGAAGATACACACAGAGGAAAATTTGTAGGTAATATTAAAGTGGTAGACATTGGCATCTCGTGAAATCTTAAGTACCTACCTTCATTAGAATTAGAAGCAATATTCTCGTTCGCAGCTAGAAATCATAAGAAAGTTTAATTAAGAGCGAACCTTTCTAAAATCATCCGACCGCCATGGCTATCTCCGATCAGTTCGTGGCGGGTAGAATTTCGGCGATCACGCTTCGCAGTACCAAAATCTTGAATCTTGATGTCATGCTTTGTGTCGAAACCGCACACATTATGTCGGTCCTTATAATGGTTACAATAAAAAAATACACTTTAACACTTTGAAATAAGGACAGGTTTTATATTTTAAATCGATATATTCATACATTTAACATTAAATTTACAAGAAATAATTACTTAGTAAGTCGTGTACATTTTCATATTTAAAACTTATAATACATGCGTTACAACCTAAGTCTAATGTTGATTTTCAGAGTCAATTTCGAGTTTAAACCCAAAGGACAATGGCGAACGCCCATACAAATTTTTATGTCAGGTAATCTGGAAGCGTCTTTACATCAAAAATATCAAAAGCGATTTACCATCCTTCCCTGAGATTGTTTGTCTAAGATTTTTTTATCGACGAAGCCAGGAATAATTGTTACGAGGCTTTGAAGATTTGTAGGTTATGTGAAGTTATGTCACTGAAATTGTTCAAGATTTATTATCAATTAAAGAGTTTTTGACGTAAAGGATTTCAATCATTTAATTTTATATTAATGTTCAATTAATAATTATTCACACTTGAAACGGTAATATACCTAATAAGGTATATTACCGTTTCAAGGTTATTCTTGAGTAATCAACTGGTGGAACAGATTAAGCACGCTATTAGGGAATTTACTCACTTATTAAGGAATCAGTGCCTAGTGAGAATTCAAAATAATATGTTTAGCCATAGTACAAGTTACACTTTGGAGCTAGATAATTGGAATGAAACTATTTTTATAGGAAAGGATTTTTTTATAGGAAAGGGTGACAAACGAGCACACAGTTCACCTGATGGTAAGTGGTTACTGTGGCCCATGGACATCTATATCTATCCTCTATTACAAATCAAAATGCAGATGCATTGTTACCCATGAGGACTAAGATGGAATGCCTCTTTTCCAGTAAAAAGGGTCTCCGGTTCTCTACACTCACCATACGAAACACAGCAGCGTCAAGCTACTATTTCACGTTGGTATTCTGTGAGACCCATTCATGCTACTACTATACTATTAATATCTAATATAGCTGCAGCATGGCTCTACCACGTATAAAATATTTAATAATATTATTCGACCATAGGTAAATAAAACAAGAAATTAATTATACAACATTTATTCTTCATCATCTTCCCTAACAATTACACCATCTAAAAACTCTGCCGGTGCTGAGATATGTTGCTGATGTCTGGCCCATCCTAAATACCAAACTAAGGTCATGACATGTGCGCAACAGCCTACTGTGCGCCGACCTACTAAACAACTACAGCAGTACTCTGTGATTCCTGTTCGGCCAGGTATATTATTTTCTAATAAAATATATACATAATATTGTCTCCGGGTTACATGCCTTGACTTAATTCTGCCTCTAATCAATGTAGTTCCATTTGTAGAACCCCTAAGATCGTATTCAGATGAATGAAATTGCTCACTACAGACTTCTATTCTGTATCCGCCATGGAAACGCACATGCTCGCCGTAATATGAGCGAGCTTGTCGAATTTGGTACGTTCCCAGGGCGAACAAAATCAGATCTCTCATTTCTAATATTGGAAAATACAAAATATTATTCCTATCCGCAGTAATACTTTGAAAGTAGGATGTGCGTCTGTTCATATTTTGAGCTTCAACCATATTAGCCAGATTATTTTCTAAATTCATTTGCTGCCTAATTATTTCTAATATTTCTGTGGCATATATATTATCTACAAAGCGAACACCAAACCTGTTTAACAGAGCCGCTGCTATTTGGAAGTTTTGCATCATGTGTGGTAGAGACCTATGGAAATATTCTTGTCGAAATAATTTAAAATCTCTTTTAAAATGACCATTCACGGCCTCTACCACCCATCTGCAAATTGTGACACAGCGACTCCGATTGGCTTGAGCAGTAGTGAGTTGGTGTTCACCTTCTATTAAAGATTCTGGCATATATGGTTTGTACCCACATCCTTCTAAAAAACTTATACTGTCTCTGAATCCCCTATCCAATATAAATATATCATTCTCTCTAAAATATGATCTTAAGGCGGAACCCTCACTGAACAAATTGGTCATTATTTCTGCATCTGATGTAGTTGCTTTGTATGGGCCAAAACAATCAACAATATATCCATCACATGCGACAATCATGAATGGTTTTAATAAGTTTCTATATTTGTGAAGGGAGTAACTCTGCTTTTGGAACATGTAGTTTGAACTTTTATTTATATATATATATGTTCCATCACAAATTACAAGAGCGTTGGTGTTGTTTTCATTTCCAAAAATGCCATGTGGTATTGTTAACTTGTGCTCCAGCAGTTGCTCTCGTGTTAACTGGTAAATTCCCAAGTTTTGGGGCACAAAATCTTTCTTATTTTGTCTATTGAATTCTCTAATGTTCTGCGTGGCACTTGTACTAAAGTGGCAATTCTTTCATCTGAATCCCCTGTCCTCATCTTCATTAAAAGTGCTGCTAGGCCCAAGCATCCTTTTCGTGTTTCATTTATACGTGGAACTTCTTCTAATATACTGTTGAACTTTTCTTTAGTAAATCCGATCCAGTATTCGAATACTCTGTCATCCATTTCAAGAATATTTTCAAAGTCCATTGTTGTATTAACCTTTATAAAAGAAAATACATGTTGGACTTGGTCTGCAGTGAAAGTGTCCAAACTATTTGCAGAATAATATAGTGTCTCCCATAAATTGCTACTTAAATGTTCACTGCAAACACGAGCTAGTTTGGGTATGTAGTAGTTGTGATTGCTCAGGACTACAGCACGGAGTTTGTCACTGATTCCATGCAATGTGGTACTGTTACAATCCTTGAAAACACAACGATTGTTGTTATTAGCTGCTCTTCTATAATCTGGTAAAGTTAGTCCATTTGGTGCGTGCCTCACTTCCTCATTTGAAACACAAGACTGCACCCCTGCTAATATAGGCTCATCTGCTGTTGATGGCTCCTCAATTGTAGATTGTGGTCTGTTGACATCATGGGTACGACGGGCCTCTCTTTGAGTGCGCAACCAACAAGGGTGACACACCTTATCAGTTTCTGTAACCTAGAAATAAAAAAAATGCTTTAATGAGAAAAATCAACAACTTTTTTTCAAATAAAATATGTGCGAAAATAGTCATAACAGTAAAATCCTTTTCAATATATTTTACTCCCATTCATAGGTTTGATTAACATATAAGCACATAATAATCATAACATTTGGAAATCAAATCAAGGATATATGTGTTAGTATATGTATACTAAGGGACCAAAAATACCAAATGCTTAAATATCTAGCTCTAAGATAAATATGTCTTTTTCACAATATGAGACTGCCCAAAATAAATAAATTATTCAACCACAACAACAATCACAACGATTACCTAGCTCAAAACTAAGTTTGAGCTTATGCTATGGCAACTAGGCTAATGGATAGTAATTATATACAATTATAAACATCCATGACTGAAGTACAAATGCTCATGTTCATCACACAAACATTTGCCACTTGCGGGTTTCGAACCCGCAACTGATGGTTCATAGTCCGAGCAGACCACTTGACTAAGGCAGTCATCTAAAAATTAAAATATACATAGCACACCTGTCTTGGAGCAACCCTGTTCTCAATAAGGGTATACATCAACTGATGCAAGTCCGTAGGGTTATCTCTCAATATTCTGTCACTTTGCCTTTGCAGAATAGAGCACCCACATAAAACGCATACACTAGCATGGCCTCGGTGACTTGGTCCAGGTTGTTGGTCATCAATGCCAGATATTTCTTGTAAGCTATGATTTACACTTATCATTGCAAGATCTCTACATGCTTCACAGACATAGTCATCTTCGGTAATCTGAAAAATAAAAATACTTATTATTAGGATTGTGTCATCCGTACATAGATCTATGTTAAAAATCGATTGTAATCTATAGTGTTTGGTAATGCCAACAGATGAGAGGTTAAATGTTGAGTTAAGATGTTATTCAATTCAAATAAAATTATGTATAATGGGTGCAAATACTATTTCTACAACAATTAACTAATAATTACTAATTAATGTGATCATTAAAGAATCAGTTGGACATACTTGTAATAGATTTATTATTTGGATAAATACGAATAGATATGGTTACTTAGAATAAATAAACACTTACGATTTGTGGATACACCCAGCTACAGAGTAACGTGGTAACTCTTATGTTAAGTTCCAAAGCACGGTATCGACGCAGTGTATTAACGCATATGTTGCAGTTGATACACATAATGCGAGTAACTCTGTCACGATCGCTCATCGTGTCTGAATTAAGAATTACTGTGACAACTAGACCAAAATCTTAGGGCACAAATCGGAGTCCAGATGAGAATAGCACAATGTCGTCGGGTGTAGCAGAATCGAAGTCCTTTGGGCACGCAATATAATATTCACACAATAGAAAATCAATATCAGATAAGTCCAGGGGCAGTCCAGGTCGAATAAAAATAAGGAAATCAAAAGGCAGAACCAAAAACACAAAACACAGACAGCACAAACGGCGCGAAAGCAGTGTGTGTAAGACGTAACGAAAATGTCATTACGACATTGTCATATTGTGTTGCTATAGCATTTATATTGTTTCTTACTAAACAATCTGAATTCCAGAAGTATATAATAAAATACTACATATTTTTTAAATATTCTTATGTAACTTTTGTTCCAATGATATAAAACGCAATAATGATAATATTATTTTATCTTAAACCAGATGCAACAAGATGAATTGAAAATGATTTTTAACTACGACACTGAAGTAATTATAAACTGGTCACACTAAGTGACGGAAAGGATATCCATTTGATTTCAATCAATTATGTTTCCAAAAAGGAAGTGATTTTTATTCTGGCTTTTACTAGTTTTGATGTTTAGTTGACAAAATGCAATAATTTTTTTTATTACGTCTTTTAAAAATAATATCTCAAGACGCTTCAAAATATTTGACATATTATTTCGCCATTGTTCTTTCATAATGTCAAAATTTGGGGAGTCTAGCATAGACTATATCAATACTATATTATACGTATATATATTGTATATTATCTATTTTTATAATACTACGTAACTCGACCTTAATCATTGATTTTTAAGTTTGTTTATAGAGCAAGCTCTATTTTATTTTCAACTGCACATTAATAAATAATAAAACACAAATATCTAATATTAAAATACAAAATATTTTTTTTTGTCTTGACATAAGCGTCCAAGATAAAAGGAACATTTGAAATCACACAAAACTCACAGCCCATTCAGTCAATCTGTCCTTATTATTTGGCGGCAACTTTTGAAAATTCTTTAGCAGCAATCTCTACTCTGTGCGACTGTTAGACCACAGACTATTAAATATTTGACTTTGGCAATATGAACGTAAACAATGAATGTTTATTTTATTTTATATAATGTATTTGTAACACATATTATTTATTAATTTTGGCTTTCTGCATTCCTTCATCAATATAACATTTAGCTATGCCAAATCTCACCTCACACTCCTCCGTGAGCACAACATGCTTAAAAATGGGTACAAAATTTTCGGTTCACGTATTAATATATAGACATTGAGTTATATGTACTACGTACGTGCGTAGTACACATAATATATCGTTGTATATAGATGTTTTTTTTTTATTTTAACACGCGCCAAATTTTATTTCTCTATTTCTCTCGGGGTTTTCTGTTTACTGGTAGAGAATGTTATATAGGTTTAGCTTCGCCCAATATTATGTTAGTTCAACGTGTCTTACAATAAAGAATAAATAAATAAATGATCAAAGGGAAGATAGGGCAAAAAAAAAAATAAAAGTAAAATAAACAGATACATAGAGATCAGTTCAGTTCATCAGACAGACGAGAAAGCTGCTGTTATGCTATAGAGCCAATTAAAAGATCTCACAGAAAGGAAAAGAGACGATTACTGTCTATTACAAATTCTTAAATTTAAAGTTGAATAATTCAAAACCAAACGTCAGAAACTATATTAAACATTATTAGCTGTAACAATTAGGTAACATAGAAAATAATTGAATTTCCGCCCAAAAAAATAATAATGGGAAAAGTCTGCAACGCTCCACTTAATCTCTCAGATCTTGGAAAAGTCAGTGGGCCGGTCCATTCACGAGAACTAACATCTGAAGCTACAACATTCGTCGGGTCGTTCACCTCGCACGCACTATTCGAAGGAAATTATCTTGTCGATTTTTTTTAAGATCTTCATAACATGACAATCGTTTATTATTTAAATATATGGACAAATTAAAAGTAATGTTTTTAAATTTCGAATGCTTAGATTTTTAATCTAGTTTTCGTTAGCGTATTTGTTTGTTTAAACGATTAGAAGTAAACATTTCTTACAAACTCATCATATATTGGTAATTCATTGCTATACTTTTTGTTATACTTTCTACCCTTTTTCTCAAATATAAGTAGCCTAGGTTACTCCTTATAACATCAGCTATCTGCCAGTGAAAGTCCCGTCGAAATCGACCCAGCCGTTTCGGAGATTAGCTTGGAACAAACAGACAGACCGACAAAAATTTTAAACATTTTTTTTTTGTTATTAGTACCGTAGTACTTTCATGTTATGCATTTAGTAAAAAGCTGTTATTTTAACATTACAAACAGACACTTCAATTTTCTTTATTTCTATAGATTTTTCTATATTTGGTTTATTTCGGTCAACTGCAGAAGTAGGCTTATCGCTATAAAGGATATGTATATATAACAAGAGTGTAGATGCGTGTATTATCTTATATTGTATGTAGTCGCTAATTAATATCCGACTCGGACATATTATCTGTAACCGCTATCAACATCGATCCTGAATGATAACATCTACACGCGGCCTAAGTACCTACGAACCCCGACTAACACAATTATTGAATTAAACACCATTAAATTGATACGGTATAAAGTTAAAAAAGTAGACAATATACACTATTGCGAATTTAAATAAGAATAGGTATATTGGTGCTAAAAAAACGTTAAAACTTACGGTTTTTTTTTTTTAGAATGAAAGTAACAAACGAGCACACAGTTCACCTCATTATAAGTGACATGATGCTCAATAAACAATAACATTTCTTTAAAATGTTAATGCATATTGGGCATTCTATATTAAATGCTATGATTAAATCATGTTCAAGATCGTCCCCGCCATTACATTAGATTTGATAGACCACAAATTCTCGCAAAAGAACACCGATTCCTCCCAAGGATGATTCGCGAAGCTATTGAAATTAAAAAACATCCTAATTTCAATAGAGAAGATGGATGGGTGCTGCCATCTGCTTGGGATCCCATAATTAATAAAATCAAATCCAAACCCAAGTATACCACTGCTAGACTTCAAGATACTGTAAGCTCATTCTGCGTAAATCGGACAAAAATTAAAAAAAAAATTATATTAAAAAACTGAAGGTAGCCGGGCTAACTATGACAGCAGGACGTCAAACACCTCAGTCCCCCGTGACCACGGGTGCTTGAAAGCACCCGAAACGTCGAGAATATAAAAATAGGTTAATATACGCGATAAAATCCGTAAAATTAGTTTTATTTAAAAAATGTATAGTGTTCGCGTAAATATAAGAAATCATTATGCTATGATTAAATGTAAAAAAAAGGCAATTCTTTGTTACAAATAAAAAAAAACTTTATCACAAATAATTCTTTTATTATTTCTATTATTATCTATTTGTTTTACATAAACCAGATAATTATTGCAAATGAAATTGTTTAGTCGCACAAGGTTCGTCAATGTTTTTTTATTTATTTTTATTTACTACAATATCAGGCACACTATTCAGAAAGGAATAAAAGAAACTATTCAGAAACAAGGTTTAAGACAAAGTACCTAGGTAGATTGTAGTGAACTCTTAGTTACTCCGTTGTATGACGATTAAAATAACTTAATCTTTAAAAGTGTTATTTTTCTTTTTTCTACGCTCCAAATAAACCAGTTGAAATAAAAATATATACTAAGACGTACTATGATGAAAACTTTTTGTCTATCATTTTACAACTCTAGTTTACATTCATGCGCCAATATCTTTATTGTGGCAATAAAACAATAAATGTTGGACAATTGAAGATAAAAATGCTCCAAGTATAGGTAGATGATAACCCATTTCCATATATCTGTCGGCTCTTTTGTCTACTGCGTAAAATTCCTTGAGTTTTTTTTTTTGTAGTTATTGAGAAATTCTTATGTGTGGGGTAACCATGTTTTTTTTTTTTAAAATCGTAAACGTGTTTCGTGAAGTAGCAGTGTAAGAGAGAATCGGTTCATTTTGCTCTGTGAGTGAACTATGAGAAAGGAAATAATTAAAAATTAAAAATTTTGTACAACCGACTTCAATATAAATTATTAAGAATAACTCAAAAACTATTGGTCAGACCTTGATCAAATTCATATGAGACCACGTGAAAAGCACCAGTTTTCAAATAAAAAAAGAATTTTTCGAGGACATGTGTAGGTTGCCAACTATCAAACATGTAAAGTTCACGCTTGCTGTATTTCATTTAAATTTAATTTATTCAATTGCACCATTCAACTATTTGCTTATAGACTTGTTACTTTTTATACGGCTTTGTGATATAGCCACGCTGCAGCTATATTATGGCTGCAGCATGAGTGTGTCGGCTCAACCGGGGAAGGAACACGCTCTCATAGTATTTTGAGGTATACCTGACGAGAAGATGTGCCGTAATTTCCCGAACGCTGCCCAGCCGAATTGAATCCTTCGTTCGACCTCTCGGTCGAAGTTGGCCTTACTTAGTCGGACTATTTGTCCCAGGTAAACATACTCGTCAACAATTTCGAGCTTAGTGCTCCCAACAACTACCGGCATAGGTGTGACATGGACGTTATACGTGATCTTCGTTTTGTCCATTTTCATCTTAAGACCTATCCTTTGGGAGTTGGGAGGCACTATTGAGGTCAATGAGCATAGCGCTTAGGTCCTCCAGCGATTCTGCCATAAAGACTATTACGTCGGCAAATCGAAGGTGAGTGATGTACCCGTCGTTGATGTTAATACCGTATTCTTTCCAGTCCAGAAGCTTGAAAACGTCTTCCAATGCAGCGGTGAAGAGTTTCGGGGATATAACTTCACCCTGTCTTACACCTCCCTGCAGTTGGATAGGTTTCGTATTCTGGTTCTGTACTCTGATAGCCATCGTAGCCCTATAGTACAAACACTTCAGTACTTTGATATACCGACAGTCAACTTGGCACCGCTGAAGGGACTGCAGCACCGCCCAAATTTCGATGAAATCAAAGGCTTACTCATAGTCTACTTACGCCAGACATATTGGCAAATTGTACTCCTCGGACTTCTGTACAATTTGTCGAATGGTATGTATGTAGTCTATGGTTCTAAAGACTTATCGGAAACCGGCTTGTTCGGGAGGCTGGAAGTCGTCGAGTCTGTTGTTAAATGCACAACGTAAAATAATTATAACTTTTAACAAAAAGTAAAAGCCGACTTCAAATTGCTAGTAAACCGCATCAACAAAATCGGTC